ATATTTTACATAAAATTTCCATACACGAAATACCATTTTATGCTAGTCTATATAACGAGAATTGCTAAAATAAAAAATTACTATAAACGTGTATTAAATATAAAATCACTTTATATCTTTCCATCCAAAATTTATTATATAACTAGTTTTAAAACTATAACCAGTTATATAACCAATTATTAAAAATTAAAATTGGTTATTAAAAACTGGTATAGTTAAGTTACAATAACTACTTATAAGTTTGGTTACAAAATGATTGTGGTTAATTATTTAAATAACCTAACCATGAGACTACTAGTTGATGGATTAATTTCATATGAGACCTAAATATGCATGTTAAGGTTATAGTAGGCTCACACTCAAGTTATTTTATCCAAACAATAATACTAACCTTTTATAATTTAAGTGGCGAAACCTAAAAAATTAATCAAAGTTATTTACTTAACATTCTCAAAAGTTTAACATTGTTTATACTTGATTTGGTTGTGATAGGTCAAATGTTGTAATTTGGTAGGTCTAGTTGCTTAAATTGTTTATCTTTACTGTAGAAGATTTTTGTTGTTGATGTGTGACGGCTCCCTAGTTACTTACTAATGTTCATATTGAGAATGTCGTCAAATATTAATTTTTAATTTATTTATTTTTAATTTTTTATATTTAAATATATTATTAAATATCACATTACTTAATTATAAATAAATATTAAAATTTAATGATTAGTAAAAGTCAATTTTATAGAAGATTAAAATTTTATATTTAAAAAAGGCTTTGTTGCTTTAATATATCGGTTGGTTGTAAGCATTTGTTTATGCATTTGATTAGACTCTCTTGTACCCTAATTTGATCATAGTGGAGCTTGATTGACTGGCTTGTGCCCATGGATTTTTACTTCTCACATTGAGAGGATTTTCTCACGTTAAAAATATTTGTGTCTCTTTGTGATTATTTTCTGCCATTTATTTATTTTGTTGCTCCTCGTTGGTTTTTGCAAGTTGGGGAAATTATTTTCGCTACGTACTTTGGTACTCTTGATTATTCTGTTGTTGTTTCCCCTATCAAGATTTTTGTAATTGAAGAGTCTTGTGATTTGCAAACTCTCACAATTACTTAATTGGCCAACAAGCTTCACGCACAAGAGTAAAGAGTCTTCATTAGAAGTGATGAAGCTTTTGAAGGCGCCTTTCGAGCAAAGCACAATGGAAGAAATTTTAGAAAGTCACGAACTTTCAATAAGAACAAAGGAAAAGTTGAAGGTTCCTCGAGAAAAAGAAATTTTTTGCCTTGTTTTCATTGTCAAAACCATGCTAAAAAAGATTGTTGGTTAAAGGATAAATCTTTTTTCCACTGTAATTTTTGTAATAAAAATGGTCACAGTGAAAAGCATTACAAATTAAAGAAGAATCAGCCTAAACAACAATTAGAAAAACAGGCAAATGTGATTGAAGAAAAAAATGATGATGAAGATGAATATTTATTTATGGCATCTCAAGAATTCAATTCACATGAATTGAAAACTTGACTCATTGTTAAGTCTCATTTATACATATGTTTAGATAGGAATTATTGAACAATTTCACTCACCCCATGCTCTCTTGCAATATAATTATTCTCTTTTTGATTCATTTTTTGTGCAGATATAGCTAACCCAAAATTTATCTAACAATACCTTGATACACCTCATTTTTTGTGCAGGTATTGAGTGAAGAGTTGAAAGTTGAAGACCTATTGGATTGGAAATTAAAGGAGCTAAGGAGCAGGAGAAGAGTACCTACGCCGGGCGCAAGACTACCCACGCCGGGCTTGAGCAAAACAGAGAGTCACACTCTCTGCAATTCAGAACTGCGCCAAGCGCAAGAAGTTAAACTCTCTAGAAGATATCACGCCCGGCTTAAAAGTAATTGCGTCGGGCATATCTTGAGACAGAGAGTAACTAAACTCTCTAGAAGGCCCTACACCGGGCACAAAGCATAATGCACTGGGCGTGGTAACCCTAACCTGACTCACCCAACTCGTATTTGATCAAGTCTTTGAGGATTTTCCCCTCATTCACACATTGAGCGACTTCTAGGAGCTGAGAAAGGGATTCCTGGTGCTTGGGACCGTTCGTGTGTGGGTCTTTCCTTCGGTTCTTCCATCTCTCTTCCATCTCTATTTTTGTTTTACCCTCATTGTTTTGAGCAGTTCTACCCATTATTTTGTGGGGTTAGATGTAACCAACGATACTCTTATGTAATCTTTACGTTCTTAATGATATATATATATATATATATTTGAAGAGAGATTTTGAATTGATGAAGATAAAGGATAATGAATTTGTTAAAGGTTATTCTGGCATATTGTGAACCAAATGCGACTTCTTGGTGAAACATCATTTACAGATCAAAAGGTTGTCGAAAAAATCATGATTTCAATGCTTGAAAGATTTGAAGCCAAGATTTGTTGGGTATTGGGCTCCCTTCCTATGTGGAGAAAAGACCCAAAATTGAGAAGTCCAAATTTTGTCTCACTTAAAAACCAAGTGGAGAGGGGACATAAAATTTGATAAAATTTGACATGCAGTGTCTGTGTCTGGTCCCCTTTCAGACGTGTATGGCATGGTATATCCGTAGTTCATGATTACTAATGCTAACACTGGGATAACAGTAACACAACACAGCACATGCACCTCTCTCTCGCAACATCAACCTTGCCCGGTTAACAACTTCCCCATGTCAACCTCTACATCAAATGCAACGTACACTCTTTAAGGAACAGGGAAGAAATAAAATAAATATTAAGTTTAATTATATATTTGATTCCTTTAACTTCAATAGATTTCATCTTTAAATTCTTATCATTAAAATTATTTATTTTAATTTTTATTCATATATTAAAAACATTTATATATTGGATTAATATTTTATATAAAAAATTAGTACGAAAAAGTTTTCTAAATTTTAAAAGATTTTATAAAAATATAATGACTTTTAATTTTTTTATAAAAAGATTTTATATGATGATAATAACTTTTACGATTATATTTAAGCTTTATATTTATATAACAAACTAATATACTTTTATAAGTAAATCATTTATTATTTGAAACTAAATTAACTTTGCCCATGAAACATCTAGATCGTTATTTATAGATATTGATTTCGGAGTTAAGATTTTATCTGGAAGATAAATTATAAGGATTTTATGGTTTTAAAACAGAGGTATATATTATTACCCAAAAGAAAAGTAACTATATACTAACTAGCTATAATAAAGTAATAGTACAATAGTTAATGTATTTCTTGTATGCAGTCATTTAACATTTAATTAAATTACCGTTTATAAAAATACTAATGATATTTTTGTTAATTAATTTAGGGAAAATAATAAATATTGGAATTTTGAAAAATAAAATATTATTCAATTATTTCTTTTTTATTTTCATCTATTTAATTATTTATCTATTTATTTTCATCGTACAAAGTTGTCGATTATGAGTTTGAAGTTGTCAAATAAATAAATTCCCTCACGTGTTAGTAGTGGTTGCATTGGTCACGTGACACAAATCGTTTTCTTTTTCCCAATGAAAATGACAATTATATAATTGAGTCATTTGATTATAAATTTATAATTATACTCCATGCTCAATTTAAATAGAACACATAGTTTTGATGTACATAACTTTTTTTTTTCTATATATTTTTTTTATAATTAGCTAAAATTACTCACTTTCTCTGATTACAAATATTTCATTATTATATAAATTTTTTTTAATCTTTTATTTTATTTTTATACAAAATACGTAAATTAATCGGTCAGTTTTTATAGTTTTATCAGTTTTTTAAATTAGATTCTTATAATTGAAAACATTTTTAAAAAGTTTTATATAGTTAAAAATTCTGTAATTAAATCTTTCATTTATTAATGCTGTTAAACTTTTGTTAATTTATGTTGACTAGATAGTATAACATGGTAATTATATTTTATTAAAGTAATTAAATTAACTTTTTATTTATTTTTAATACTTCTAATTAAATTCTTAAATTTTAATATGTGAATTAAACTAAAATGATTCATTTAAATTTAAACTATATCTCAGTTTTTAAATAAGTTATGATTAGAAATTTGTTACTTAAAAAAATAACAAATGGGTGTTAGTTTCTCTTTTCTTCTAGGAAAAAAAAATAGTTAGTCATCATATCTATATTAATATATAAAAAAATATTTTTTTAGTAATTATTTTGATTTTTATATTTTATTGACTATTATATTTTTTTATTTTAAAAAATTATTTTTTTATTAAAATCAAAATTTTATAATTAATAGACTAATTATAAGACTAAATTAACACACATTTATTATTTAATTTTAATTTTATTTTTAATAGAGACACGTGTCTTAATTTCATAATAATTATTTAAAAAAATTATACGTATTTCTTTAATATTGACAGATTAAATATACGGTCGTTTATCATCGTAGTTTTAATATTGATAGTTTTATACTACTTTAATTAAAAATAAAAGAGAATTATCTCATACAGTATTCACCATTTTTTTTATACCTATTTTACTCTTAATAATTACTTAAAAATTATCAAAAATATTAAAATAATAAAAATTATCAAAATTTATTTTGACGAAAGTACAGAATTAGGAAAAAAAAAGGATTTGAAATGGAATGGAACAGGGAGCGCTAGAAAGAGAATGGTGAAGGCGGTCCCACAGTAGGAGGCCACGCGGCAAATCGACGCCGATGATCACTCAATCTCAATTATGAAGCAGAATCGTCCTAAACTCCAAAAACCTAGTAAGTCCATTTTATAATTTATTATTTAATTAAAAGGAAAATGAATTATTATTAATTTTTATTATCGTGCAGCGCGATAAACACGAGAATTTGAATAGCATTCGGGTGGGTCTAGGGCCCAGGGCCCAAGAAGCCCATGACGTCCGTTAAGTTAACGAACGAAGAAGGAACCCGTCTTCGTAGCTGCTTCCCTCCCTGATAGGGTCTATAAATTGGGTCATACGTTCATGCAATTCTCGCTCGCCCAGTCGCACCTTCGTAGGAGCCTAAGCCTTATCTCTCTCTCTCTCTCTCTGTGTTGTGTCTCCCAACTATTGTTCCATCCATTCTTTTACTGTGTATCCCACCTTTCCCGTATAGGCTCCCCTTTTTTTCTGCATTTTGGTTTCAGATCTGGTGCAAGGCGTGGGTGGGGTTCTTGAATCCTTGAAATCTATCTTCTGAAGGGTAGGCGTGGGGATACCAGAGTCTTTCAGGGAAGGAAGAGAGGGGTCTCTCCGTTTTCAATAGATCTTTCACTGTCTTCTTTTGAGGGGGAAGCCGGGGCCTCGGCCTCGGCGGCTTTCAAAGCCCCCACCTGCACAGCCCTGTTGCCAAAACCCTAACCCTATTTTTTTATTCTAATCATTTTTTCTTTTTGATCGTCGCCCAAGAAGAGAAGATGCCTGCCCTGGCTTGTTGCGTGGACGCTGCAGCACCTCCCACCTATGCATTTGCCGCTGACATCTCTTTTCCGGCGCCGGTCCCTTTCACCCCGCCCACCACACCCGACAACCATTGGTCGCCCTCCCTCTCCTCCGCCCTCTACAACGTAGAAGGCTGGGGCGGCCCCTACTTCGCCGTCAACACCGCCGGTAACATCTCCGTGCGCCCCCACGGCTCCGACACCCTCTCCCACCAGGAGATCGATTTGCTTAAGATTGTGAAGAAGGCCTCCGATCCCAAGTCTCTTGGGGGTCTGGGGCTTCAGCTTCCCCTCATTGTGCGCTTCCCGGACGTCTTGAAGAACCGCTTGGAGTCACTTCAATCCGCCTTCGACTACGCTATCCAATCCGAGGGGTACGGCTCTCACTACCAAGGTGTTTACCCCGTCAAATGCAACCAGGACCGCTTCGTCGTCGAGGACATCGTTAAATTTGGTTCCTCCTTCCGCTTCGGCCTCGAGGCCGGTTCCAAGCCGGAACTGCTTCTCGCCATGAGCTGTTTGTGCAAAGGCAACGCCGAAGCGCTCTTGGTTTGCAACGGTTTCAAAGACGCCGAGTACATTTCTCTCGCCCTCGTTGCCAACAAGCTGGCGTTGAACACCGTGATTGTTCTTGAGCAGGAGGAGGAGCTCGATTTGATCCTTGATTTGAGCAAGAAGCTTTGCATTAAGCCCGTTATTGGGTTGCGTGCGAAGCTTCGAACCAAGCATGCTGGCCATTTCGGTGGGACTTCTGGGGAGAAAGGCAAGTTTGGACTCACCACCGCTCAGATTCTGCGGGTTGTGAAGAAGCTGGACCTCGCAGGCATGCTGGATTGCTTGCAACTGCTGCATTTTCATATCGGTTCTCAGATTCCATCCACCGCGTTGCTTGCTGATGGCGTGGGAGAGGCTGCGCAGATCTATTGCGAGCTGGTTCGGCTTGGGGCCAACATGCGGGTCATCGATATTGGAGGTGGACTGGGCATAGATTACGACGGTTCCAAATCGTGTGACTCGGATATTTCCGTTGGGTATGGTCTGCAAGAGTACGCGGCCGCGGTGGTTCACGCGGTTCAGTGTGTCTGCGACAGAAGGTCCGTGAAGCACCCCGTTATCTGCAGCGAGAGTGGGAGAGCCATTGTGTCTCACCATTCGGTGTTGATTTTCGAGGCAGTTGGGATGGGAGGAGGTTCTCCGGCATTGTCTACCCATTATCTGGCGGAGGAGCTCTCGGAGGATTACAGGAACCTCTCGGACGCGGCGATAAGAGGGGACTACGAAACATGCCTGGTGTACACGGAGGAGATGAAGCAGCGATGCGTGGAGCAGTTCAAACAGGGAACAGTGTGTATGGAACAGCTGGCAGCCGTAGACGGCTTGTATGAGTTGGTGAGGAAAGCGGTCGGGGCGGTGGAACCGGTTCGTACGTACCACGTGAATTTGTCTGTCTTCACGTCGATTCCCGACGCGTGGGGCATTGAACAGGTGTTTCCCATTATCCCCATTCATCGCTTGGAGGAGAAGCCCTCGGTGAGGGGTATTCTCTCGGACCTTACATGCGACAGCGATGGGAAGATTGATAAGTTCATAAACGGGGAGAGTAGCCTGCCGCTGCACGAGATGGAAGGAGGGAGTTACTATCTGGGAATGTTCTTGGGTGGGGCTTACGAGGAGGCGCTCGGCGGAGTCCACAACTTGTTCGGCGGCCCCAGCGTGGTGAGGGTGTCGCAGAGCGACGGCCCACACAGCTTCGCTGTTACGCGTGCCGTGCCGGGGCCCTCCTGTGGAGACGTCCTTCGAGTGATGCAGCACCAGCCCGAGCTCATGTTCGAGTCTCTCAAGCACCGTGCTTTTGAGTATGTCACCCCTGACAGCGCAGCGGTTCTCGCCTCTGCCCTTGCTCGCACCTTTGATAGAATGCCTTATCTGGTGCCGCTCTCTTCTTTTGAGGCCGATGCTGCTGTTCCTGCTGCCCAAGATGAGGCCGAACAGTGGTCTTATTGCTGTGCTTGAGTCTCGTTTTCTTTCATTCCCTGCTTGTCTGTTGCTTGTTTGTTGGTTGTTGCTGTTGGTCGTGGTCGTGGTCGTGGAGATCTTCATTTTTTTTTCTTTCCTTTTTTTATTTTCTCCGTTTTCGTTGTTTTTAGTTTAGCACAGGATGCAGGACAAGGACAGGGTCCGTCAGTCAGTTGTTCTCTGCATTTTGTTCAAAATGAAATGTCTATGACTTTCGTCAAGTTCTAGAGTAACAAATTTTATTGTTGCCTTGCTTGTTATACTTAGAATAAAAATGTTCTGTTATGGACAAGTTCTCATTTTTTCTCTTCTTAGCATTTTTCTTTATTTCTTCTTGTTGTTTTGTGGCCATGAATGTGAATTGGGTTGATCGTGTGACCTTTGTGTGCGGTGAGGGGAGGAGATAGCGTAACCGAAGAAAAAGGTTGATTCTTGATTCTGATACCATTATTGTTGGTATTGGTGGGGGCCTTTTTGAGATTTTTGGCGTCTGTATGTCGTAACAGAACCTCAATGGATGTTTAAAATGTGGCTGGTAACTTCGATGCTTCGTTCTTCTTAGAATTGACATCGGCAGGTGCAGTAGTTGTATAGAGAAAGCTGAATTTGCTTGCTAGTTCGGTGGTTGAAGGTTGAGGTGGCGTGCTGCATTTGTCGAGTTCTTTGCGTGTGGGGCTGGCTGTGGATATTGTGCTTAATTTATGGAGATAAAAAGTGGGCGTAATTTATGGAGATACAAGTTGGGCTTAGTGTACGTTGTGCAACGTGAGAGACACGAGTCCTATTATGGGGAGGTTTTTATTAAACACTAATTATTTCTACAATGTTCACGAATCACATGTTACTGTTACATGTTTATGAAGCAAAATATCTATTTATATGTTTCTTTACTGTTGTTAAAACAAAGTATTTGACGGGACACGGGTCATGGTTCGCTTGTTTTTTATTTTCTTTTTTACTCGCCCATTTTTCGTCTGTCATTCTCACGATTGATTATTTCCCGTAGAATAATAGGTCCAACGGTTTCAAAATTCAAATCATTCGGGGGCACTTACCACTACTATTCTTTTTCCTCGCAGTTGCCACAGTCCACCCCTTTTTTTTAATGATTTTTGGCGTCTGTATGTTGTTAAAGTTAAAGAACCTCAACGCATGTAGGAAATATGGTTGGTAACTAGAAGCGTCCCATTCAATGTATACAATTGAACCAAATAATGCATTGCACGCGCTAATTGCAGTTTTAGTAATGCTATAGTCATTTCCTGAAAAATCTTTAATGAAAAGCATCACTGAGAATAAAGCAAGGAACCAGGTGCGTATCGTTTGCTTGTTCTGAGCGGTACACTGATAAAAAATGGTGTTACCTGTAACTGAAGCTTGAATTATTATGGAATAGTATCACTTGCTACTGATTAAAAAGCAGCAGTTTGGAGAAAAAGAGGAATTCATGTGTGTCTTTCTCGTTTTTCGGTATGAACCTTTCCTTGACAATTAATGGAAGATTTTGTTCTATGCACACTGATGGATACTAGGATACTGGTGTTGATGATGGGACGTTTGATGAATAACCAGGAATAGTCTCTGCAATATATGCCTTGGAGGCATGTCAATGGAAAGCTGATAAGGTACCCCGTTGAAGACTTGAAGTTAGTCAAGAACTAGTAATGTTTGCAATAAAAGAATACTGATTTGTGCTCACTGCTCATTGATTTATAATTTCCTTTTATAATAATGATGTGCACTGAGAAAAATATTGTCAATAAAATATTCATGGTAATGTTGTAACTATTGCATTTAGTGATGTAATACGTAAAATGATAAAATATTTTCTTGAGGTGAACTCAATCCCAAGTATGACTCAACATATATATGCATTAGGTCTGAATATGATAATATTTGAAATTCAGGATGTTGCTTTAGCCATAGTACTGGCCGTCGGCTTTACATTAAAACATTGGATAATCATGCCCTTCACCAAATGTCCAAGAGAAGCTTGTGAGGGAAAAAATCCACTTGAAAGAGTTTTCAAGATCAAAGTCTACCCACTGTCCATTCTTGTTCAAGCAACAATATCTGAATTTTTTTTGGGTGGAAATAGCTCAAATTCCATTGTTTAACGGTCAACATGATTTGTTTTATCTTTGCATCTCCTAGCATTACGAAATTGTAGAGTAGTTGACATTGCTTTGCTGTATCGACCATCATACTGGCGGCCCAAATGGGAATATTTTTATAATCATGAAATATATTACAGAGAAAGTACCATGATTTCGTCATATTTTCAGACAACAATATGACTTTTATAGGCTTTTTTATTTTTTATTCACGAGTATAGTAATATTAATTTTTGTACTTAGTCATTTTCACCTATTTTTGAATGTTAATTTAAGACTTTTTTTTTAAATATATCTTTTTATTTATTTATTTAAATAACCTGGACCCAAGATTATTTACCTAAATAATCCATTTTTGAGGTCCAGGTGGGAAATCGGTAACCTAAAATTGATTACTCGGTAGCCAATTTCTCAAAAGATTTTTTTAAAAAAATTTCAAAAACCCTTTGAGAAATAGGTTACTAACCGATTTCTCAAATACCTTTTTTTTTCTTCATTTTTATTCCAGATTTTTATATTTCTTTTTTTGTTTTTCAATTTTTAATTTTATATTTTAAAAAAATTATAGTATTTTAAAAAAATTTTATTTAGTTAAGTTTTTAGAAAGATTAAATAATTAAATAAATATTAAATAAAATTTTAAGAAAAAGACAATTTTTATATAAAATAATAGAAAACAAATTACATTTGGAATTACAAAACATTTTAAGCATGTTGACTTGAACTCCCTTGACGATAAAAATATTTCTTCTTAGAGTGACCTACATTCTTGCAGAGAGAATATCTTTTTGGTTGTCCTGGTTCAACCATATCCATTTCAGTGCGTATTATGGATGACTTTAGACTACCTTTTTTATTTATAATCTTTTCCGGATTTGGTATGATTTGCGGTGAAATCTGTTTGTAAATCAACATTATGCATGTGTGCTGGGAAACTGAATGTGCTTACGTGCGGAGATTGTTGTAGAAGACGATCTTGTTCGTCTTGTTGGAGTCTTGCATCGTCTTCCCCCTCACTGAAAGGACCAACTTCTTCTTTAGGAACTCCAACTTCAGGGACTCCTTGTTCTTGTTCTTCTTATGGGACTCCAAATGTAAGGAGGTTGGTCAAAAATCCATGTGTATGAAAATCGTCTAACGAAGGTTGATTTTCTTAATAAAAGGGTTAGTTTTCATATGAAGAAGGTTGGTTTTCATGGGAAGAAGGTAGGTTGTGATAAGAAGGTTGGTTTTGATAGGAAGGATGTTGGTTTTCATAGGAAGAAGGTTGATTTTTATAGGAAGAATTTATTGGTGTGAGATCTACATATAGTTGAGTAGAAGTAAGATGTATAAGGGAACGAACAATTTGAATCATACCATGAACGTCTTCATCATCGTTAAGCTTGACAGCCCAGAAATTAAGCATTTCTCCGCCTACCACTTGTGGATATCGAAAGTAAAGTTGATCAACTAAATGTGGTTGTGGTAAGTTGAGTCTTCTTTGGATCTTAGCTTTCAACGCATCAAGTGTGATACGTGAACTAACTGATAAAAACATTGGGTTAGAGGATACAAAAGTATCTCATTCGTTTGTTTGAGTGATTTCATCATTGAAGAAGACTAACACATGGAAAGAAGAGGAAGACATTGTTGTAGACAAAGACTAACACATAGAAACAAGAAAACTTGGCTTAATTGCACTCTGCATTTGAACCTAAGAATGATCTCATTTAAATAGAAGGTGGAGATAGACTTCAATCAATTACACTATACAACCCTAAACACTGCATCAATGACACTTTGAAACCCTAAGCACTGCATCAATGACACACTGCATCAATGACACAGTCATCAATGACACATTCATTAATGACACAATCATCAATGACACACTGCATCAATGACACTCATCACTAAAGCATTTGATTTCTGACGCACGTAAATCAATGTCATTCTTAATTAACATATTTATAATTTTAACAATTGATTTACTAAATTATAGTATTAATTTTTATATATTTAAAAAATTTAATTTCATTATTAAAATATATTTTTTAATACATATTTTATTTGACAATTTTTAATTAAATTATCTCTATTTTTTAATTATATTTCTTTTTTTATCAAAACAATATTTTAAAAAAAATTTGAATTTAAATAAAAAATATATTTTTTATATTTTAATAACTACACTAAATATTTTTTTAAATATTATTTATAATTTTTTATAAATTCCGAAGAAAAATGAAAAAAGAAATATAAAAATCTGAAGAAAAAACAAAAAAAAAACCCAAAAGTTTGAAAAAAAAACCAAAAAAAGAAAAAAAAAGTCCAAAAGAAAAATCGGTTACGATTTCTCAAAGAGTTTTTGAAATTTTTTTAAAAAAACCCTCTGAGAAATCGGTTACCTAGTAACCGATTTCTCAACTGGACCTAAAAAATGAGTTATTTAGGTAAATAATCTTGAGTCCAAGTTATTTAAATAAATTAAAAAAATGACATATTTAAAAAAAATTCGTTAATTTAATACTAGAGTAAAAGGTACATAAACAATTGCTAATTTTTGAAAGAGATATTTTCATAAAATTACTATTTTATTTTTTAATTTAAATAATTGAACAAAAAACTCTATACTTTTTTCTTTCTTTATAGAAACTATCTATTTATATATATATAAATTTCAGTATAAAGTAAGTTATTCTACTTAATTTCTCAATCAAATATTATTTCTTCTCTTTTTTAGGGATGTGTTTCATAATCATATATTACCTCTAGCCTCTAGGGGTGTGTTTCGGACAATGGGGAAAATTAATTTATTTTAATATTTAATTATTGCTATAATTGAAAATGAAATTGATTTGAAGATATTTAATTTTGTTGTGATATGATTTTTTTGCACAATAAATAAGTTTAAAAAGAAAAAAATGCTAACAAATGATCACAACCTTTAATTGTTCAGATGCTTGAAAAAAGTTTTATTTTATTATTTTATTTATAAATTTCAGCTATTGTTCCAAATTCATATCTCCCTTATTTTGCAAACAACTTTATTTTGCTAAAAAAAAATATGGAAAACTCCAAAAATAAACTTCCTTAAGCAAAATTTTAGGATATATATATATAGAACCTATTAGAGCACTCAGTGCAATTAAGAAAAAAGGCCCAGGAAAAAAAGTTTGTTTCTCAAAAGTCTTACCACAAGCCTTATAA